AATCATACCTGAAAGTTATTTGTCCAGTGTTGTCCTGGTAATTATTTCTATTTAGAGGCCCATAAAAATATCTATAGGCTGTATTTGGGAGAGTTGTGTCTTGGTGAGGGTCATCCTGTGGGGACAGGAGACATTTAGTACTGTTACTAATCATGGGATGACATTTCCAGAAATCAAATGACAGAGGCCATCGCACCAGTTTTCGTTCTTAATCCCTGAGTGTATATTGTAAGGAAACCTTCTAAACCCTCCACGGTTGTGGAAGGAACAGGTCTTCAGTGGAGTTGTTTAGTATTTTCAAGGTGTCATGATGTTAAAAGAGTTTTTGATTTCATATGTCTGATCTCATTTGTTAATAGGTCTTCTTTTCATAGTCAACTGTGCTTTTGCTCTGAGATTTGGAGATCCTTTGAGGAGGCAAGATTTTATTTAGATCTTGCATCACAAAATCATCCTTCATATGGTTCTGAGGTGTTTTTTCATTTTGTTCTTTGATGGGTATGTTGGGAATTGTGACATTTAAGCAGTGACTTTGCAAAGTTGGACTTGTTAATGGGGAAAAGTACTCTTCCCACCTTAAAGATTGACAGGAACATGAGATGGCTGAAGCTGCTCTGGGCTTGTTCTGGCAAGAGTACATAGGACAAGAAATACTCTGGAGAGTTCAACATTGAATCACATCATATCATAGTACATGACTAGATGCCTTAATCTTGCAATTGGACTCTCTCAGGAGAAATTGTTGACAGAGAGACTAGTGGCCAGACAAAATTATATTGAGGAAAACAAACTTGTATTATTTGATACAAAATTGGTGAGGGGAAAATACCAATGTAAAATAAAATGAAGATGAAATCACTAGTAAATACTCAAAGACTACATTCCAGGTTATTACCAACCTCTTGTTTCTGGTGATAACTAATGGCTAGTAATTAACTGCAAAAGTTTTCAACTGTTTGCAAATTTCTTCAGTAAAATGAAAATATAGTGAAGGAGAAGCATGAGCACAAGTCATGCTGTAAAGAACTCCTAAGATGTGCATGGGCCAAGTGGGTCACCGAATTTGCTGTGTTTGACCCTTGGGTTGCACCACTTGGAACCTGAAACACCCAACGGTGTTTCAGAGGTAAAGAGTCCAGGATTAAGTTGCACTGTGAGAATCTCCACAAATGATATTCCATCATAAACTTATTCTCTCCGCCTAAGTGACAACTGAATCCCATTAGAGGAGCTTTACTATTGACATCTCTGAAGAACCTCATTTGTAATTACCAAAAATAAATTGCCATTATTTCTCACATTCCCCATTGTTTCCTGCTATCCCAGAATCTCCACCTCAGAGGGCTTGTGGGCTACATTCCCTCCTTTGTGTCTGCTCAGTTTTCTTAGTCCTGTCACTTCGTGTCCCTTCTATCTAGAGTTTCATTTCCATGATCATTGCCATTACCTCTCATTTATCCAGCCCTTTTTTATGACTCATCTGAACAAATGCCATACTCTCCCAGGCTACTTCTTGCCTTGTAGAATTTTCTTCTGCTATCTGCCTTTCTTACCACTGCTTGTATTGCTCATCTCATGCTTCTCTTGCACTGATAGCAAGAAGGCTCTCTGCTCTTGCTTTCCTCCCTCTCTAGCTTTGAGTCTCACCATTTCCTTGTCACTACACTGCTCAATCTCATCACTCCCAGGCTGCATTGTGCTTCTTCAGTCGGCCTTCTTTCCTTCTCATACTGTTGTCAATGTGCCATATTTTTCTTAGAATGAGTCCTCCCCATTCTTTATATACTCCATTCTTCAGGGATCACCCACATGCCATGACATCCACAAATCTCGTTTCTGATCTCCAAACTTGATATGCTATCTGACAATGATAAATCATGCAATACTTTATATTTTTCCTGTAATACCACACTCTGCTTTGCACTGCATTTACTTGTAAATTTATTTTTGGTACACTTGATGGTAAAGGTGGAATTTTATTTTTCATATCCAGAAAAATATCTTACACCACACAGTAGTACCTGTCTTCAAAAACTGTTTGTTATAGATGATAAGTGAATGGATGGAGTAGCATCTACAGGTAGATCCCAAGGAGAGGGGATGTTTAGGTAAACTGTGGTACAAGTGTTTCCCACAGGATCCCATTAGATTGGGGCTAAGGGGCCTTTAATACCTACTAGCCCTCACTGAAAAATCTTGGTTTTGCTAGCACAGTATAGATACTAAGTGGAATTGTTCATTAAATACCAGCCAGCTCCACCAACAGTGTATAAAGGTACTGTGTAAACAATACAGTGATTGTAAAGGATATTATTAAACATCATGCTGTTAATGTGTAACAAGATCAACTCTGGTACCAACAAAGCCAGTGACTGATTACATATCTGCTAAATAACCATTAAGGTGTCTGCTGCATTGACCCAAGACAGGACAAATTATTCTTGTTGAGAAATTGTTTTGCACAAGGCAAAAGGCCTTTGTCATTTGTTTTTGTGTTTTGTGAGTTGTGCAGTGGAGGTGAATGTTTGATCAGGCAGTGGTTATGCCTTATGAAGTTTACAAGAAGGCCATGTTACCTGGTTGGTGTGAGTTACAGCTAGATTAAATGTAGTTCTGTGGCTCGGCTCCCAGCTGAGCCATTACCAGTGGCTACTTCATTAGTGGTCAGAAAGCCATTCCCTTGTCTTTGTATATTTTCTCCAGAAAAATTGATTTAAGCCTATTTGCCAATTTCTTAAGGCTGTATATCTGTCCATACTATGTGATTTCTTTGCAAAATGATTTGCCACCTAAAGGAATGGCTTTGCTTACTACAAGACTCCATCCTGATGTCTAGGTTGAAACTAGAATGAACTCCCTAAAGAAAAGCATTTGGGCCAGGTGCCTGGGGCTCACACCAGTAATCCTATGTACTTAGAAGGCTGAGATTGGAGATCAAGGTTCAAAGTAAGCTTGGGCAGACAAATCCAAGAGTCTTAGCTCTAATTAACCACCAAAAAGCTAGGAGTAGGGGCATGGCTCAAATGAACATTGGAGGCCCTTAGTTCAAGCCCCAGTACTGACTCCAGGAAAAAAAAAATGTGAAGAGCAGTTGGAACTTTAAGAATATGTTCTCACTACTGCAAGAAAGCTGTTTTAAAAGTTTAGGGTGGTGAAGGTTAATCATATAATATGAGCACTTCCCCTAGGTGAAAAGTGTAAATTTATTTTAGGGGTGTGGTGTTATTACAACTGGCCAATCCCTCGGCCATAATTTAATCAGTTTGGACAAAGATCATCAAGAAAGATATGGGTGGAGAGTGCACAATGCCTCTGTCCTTTCCCAGGTTTAGTTTTTTTTAACCCTAGCAGGTTATGTATTTGCCTGAAACATCCTAGCTTTTATCTTCTGCCATTTACCACCTAACCAGTCACTTTTCCTTGAAGGCCTAAGGAACATAAGAATCAGGAAACTCATTCACTTATTTATTCATGAAGCACTTAATATGTTGCTGTAGGAATATGTAGATAAGTAAAGCACTATTCAGTCTGGTAAAGGAGATGTGTGATTAAGGTCACTAACAGTGTCATACATAACCAGACAAGACAGTGGCTAGAAAGGTTACTGGGCCCCATGTCCTGTGCCAGAGTGAAAGCCAGCTGCCTTCCTTGAAGTTCAGTAGCCAAAGAAAGCCACTTTTAGGATTCTGGGTGGGACTATATTTTGGAGGCTTGATTGACACTTAGGGCGTCTTAGAAGTTATTCTTCTGGCACATAGTTTGGTTAGTACCTGCTGAGAACTGGGCTTTGTTCTAGGTCGTGAAGCCATAGCATGAGCTCTACCACCATGGGACAAAGGGGAGAATCAGACAAGTGGGAAAAGGCATTATTGTCCTGCCTAGTGTGTTAGAAGGCCGTTATAACTGTGGGAACCACATATTGGCAGGGAGAGTGGAGTGAAGAATATTAAGGCAATTTGAATTTTCAAAGGATGGCCAGTATCTCTGCCATTAATTGAATCCGTCTGGACAAGGGAAAGGCTAGAAACAAATGGGTGGGAGCACAGTGAGAGTGGTCAAAGGAGACTTCACTGACAGCGATTTGGAGCAAAGATTTGAAGGGATTAGAGGAGCAACTGGAAGGAGGCCTGTGCCAAAGAGGGTGCAGGGAAAATGGAAGAAGCCAGCGTGGCAGAGTCAGGGAAAGGATGGTTCCTAGGGAGACTTGTAGTACTGTAGGCTTTTCCTAGAACCCGTCATGATCACCCCTGTTTAGCCAAATGTTGACTTGTGGAGCTACCATAATGTATGAGGTTGATGTCTTAATTCATGTTTTCACTTTTATTGCTCCTGGCAATAAAAACAAATAGTAGATTGAATGGGTAGGACAAAATGTCTTCACTGTGTATATAGCAGGGATATGTATATGTGTGTCCCCATTCCATTCTGTTCTACCGGATGCTGGCAGGATAAGAGCAGCTAGAATTTCTCCCCATTTCAACTGATCTCTGCAAGATACCAAGGAAGACAAGGAGTTAGTATTATGATGCCATTCATCTCTATAGTTGTTGTGGCCAAACCTTTTAAATTACACCAGTAACAAAAATCCATCTATTCCAGTTACCTTTATCATTAACAGCACAAAAATGCATTATTTATAGCACCAAAGACAAGCACTTGAGGCATATAAAGAGGATTAATATGGTTGGCACAGCATTTAAGCTATGTCAGAGCTCAGTCCAAATTTTATTCCGGTAGAGATGACTTTCTATGTGGCCTCTCTGGCTCTGGAGCTAATTTGGATGCTGAGTAGCCCCACAGGTATTTATATGTAGCGTTTGGTATTTTTACTGGGTCCTATTCTTCTCCCTTGGATCACCTAAAATGGTTAAGAATTTTCTAGTGGGATTAAGGTTGTGATCTCAGGGGAGGGGTGAGACATCTGCTCTTGGTTATTTTTGTGAGAGCTGCTTCCCCTTAAATGTATGTTCACAAATGAGCCACAGCCTTATCAGCTGGGGTTGAGGGAAGACTGGTCTGGGTGCTGCTCTTGAACTTGGTCTCTCAGCCATGGCTTCTCAGAGACACTCAGGTAAGATCTTCATGTTCTTCGTCTTATCTTGAGCACAGTTTTGTTGGGGCAGTAAATCTGTCATTTGTCTAAAAGATAACTTTTTATTAAATAGTTCTACTCCTGTCTAAATGGTAAATAAATCACAGCTTGTCTCTATGTTGTCCTTGCCTTTTCATGCTATTTCAAAGACAAATGACTAGTAGTCTTTTTTTCTGTTTTCTTTTTTGATCGTGGAGCCTGAACTCTGGGCCTGGGCGCTGTCCCTCAGCTCTTCAGCTCAAGGCTAGCACCCTACCACTTGAGCCACAGCACCACTTCTGGCTTTTTCTGCTTATATGGTGCTGAGGAATCAAACCCAGGGCCTCATGCATGCAAGGCAAGCACTTGGCCACTGAGCCACCTTCCCAGCCCCTGACTTACCTTTTTAAGTGTAAATAAAAATACAACTATATTTTACATCTTCCAGAAGCTCTAGTGAAATAGAAGGTTGTGTGAGGAAAGTTGGGAGCTTGGTTAGGGATTTTTGTCACTTCTAAGTGTCTCTCTTTCTTTCCCTTTCTCTCACATGCACACATCTTGACAATGCTTGAAATGGAATTTAAAGTTTTTGAAAAAGATGAATACAAGCAGGAAAGAAGAATTTTGTAACTGAGAAAGTCCGTAATAACTACATCTTCCCTTTTTCTGAATGATGTTTTAAATCTTGAATAAATAGCTTTGGATCTTTTGATATGGCAGCTGGTGTGGTATTAGTTATTTTGTGGAAAAGGGTCATAATTTCTGTTCTAGACCATCATGACTTTGTGTAAGAGTCTTTCTTGTGCTTTTCTTCTAACCTAACATTAAGGAAGCTATTGGCCATATAAAGAACCCCATGGAATAAGGGCTGCAGAAATGGACTGAAGCTCAATTCTCTAAAGTCAGCCTGATGCCTCTGTCTCTTCCTGAAGCCAAGAATGTGGCAGTTGCTCTATTGCCCTCCTCCCAAGTAATGGTTCCTTTACTTGGTGCTGATTAAGTAAGGCAGTTGGGCAGAAAACAAGTACTTTGTCCTGACTCCCAACTTTTAGGATAAGGGACAAAATAATGACTGGTGGTAGTTTTGGGAAAATTTATTTTTGAAACCTATACTTGTCTGTTTATATTTCAACAGTGAAAATACTTTCAGAAACTTCTAAATATTTTAAGGCATATATGCTGTAGTACAATTCCATACTTTAATTAGCTTGTCTTCTTTGTTTCCAAGTGTTCAAAGCTATCCGTTTTTTCTTTCCCACCTTTTGAGAACTGTTTTTAAAACATGGTACCACATGCCTGAGATTGTGGTTATAGACTGACATATACATTCTCTAGATGCAGACAGACTAGTCAGTGGTACCAGTTGTCCTAATGGTCCTTTAATACACATTTATCCAGAAAATAACTCCCCATTTATTTACTAATGAAGTAAAATAATCATACCAGGTGAGAGATGTATCACATATCCAACTATGACTTTTAAATTCCAAAAAATATATAATATGTGTTTATCTCATTCTAGAGGCTGTAACTATCATTAGATTAGATTAATTATAGTTTCATATAACTTTTAGTGTGCCCGTCCTAGAGCTTGAACTCAGCCTGGGTGCTGTCCTTGAGCTTTTCTGTCCAAGACTAGCACATTACCACTTGAATCTGGCTTTTTGGTGGTTCATTAGAAATAGGAGTCTCACAGAGCTCCCTGCCAATTATGGCTTTGAACTATGATCCTCAGATTTCAGCTTCCCGAGTACCAGTGGTATTTTTCATTGTCTTAGGTTCATTAAGCACAGGAAGCAAAACTAAGTCCTGTTCTCAACCCCCCCTCCCCCCCAAAAAAAAAGCGAACCTAGGTTTATGAAAGAGAGATGTCTTCACAGAAAACAGTTCATGTTGTCCTGAAAAAGAGGGCTTCAAATGTGACAAAGGAGAGGCTCAGATTATTGGATCAGAATCCACACACTGAAAGAACATTTCAAGCACACATAAATTGTGTATTTTTGACATTGAATACTTTGAAACATTATTATTTCTTTCATTCTTTGGCTTTTCAAGTAAAGGGCTTGGGTGGGATTGGGAGGGAAATAAGATCATTTGCCACATTCTACAATCATTAATCCCTTTCACTAACTCCTGTTCAGGAGGCTACAGATGCCTGCAGGGAGGGAAAATAAGAAGTTGGGATAGGAGGGAAATAAAGCCGATTGACTTCATGAAGAAACCAAAAATGATAATCAGAAGATTTGATGGTGAAGGTTGATGGTGAAACTGAACATTTTGTACAGTCAAATAGCTGCCTACTACTTAAACTATGACTGGAGTCTGTCAAGTGTTTCCTTCCAATATGAAAGATGGAACATGCTACATGTAGTATGTATAAACTTAAATATTTTCATATTTAGACAGAATGGTAATACTAGAAGAGAATTTGTCCTGATGGAAGTTCAGTGGCATGTAAGTTTTCATTTGATAGTCTCTGATAATCTCCTGATAAGAAATACATTCTGAGGATATTAGCTTTCTCTCTCTCTCTCTTCCTCTCTTCCTCTCTCCCTCTCTCTCTCCCCCTCTCTCAAAAGGATCTTATGCTTTTTTTCTAAATGCAACGTTCTAGCGATGTTCTGATACCAATGAATCATTGTGTACATGTTTTGTTTCTAAGGACAGAGGTACTGATTTTTTTCTGAAATTCTATGGGACACTGCTTTTCATCCCTGATTCACTCCATTGCATAGCAGCTATGGAGATGTTTATTCCTCAAAACTTATCTGAGGATACCTCCAGGTGCATTACTATATGAATGACACAAATGTTCTATTTACTGGCTGAGGCTTCTTTCCATTTGTTGAAGTTCTCAGCAAAGAAACGTATTCTTTCTTTGGAAGGCAACATTTATATGTGGCGTCATTATCCAACCAATATGTTGGACTTAGGAATTAATAAAAATAAATGGATTTTTTTCCATTTGAGTTGCTGTTCATTGCTTACACTGTACATTATAGCACTCAGGGAAAGCATATATTACCTTAATCATAGTATTCACACTCACCCTAAATATGCTTATTTTGAACCACTTGAGTCTGAGTAGAAAAATGAACATTAGACGGAAAGAAGCACATGAAAAATGTACGTACAAACACTTCCTTAAATACAAACTACATCTTCTCTGAGACATTTAGAGTAAAAAAAGAAGTGTTGAAATGTTATATTACTCCTATGTGTACATGTAAATTTAAATCCCAACCTTCTCTTGATGTACTGAGGAACTTGTTAGCATCTTGCATGTAGAGAAGGATTGTTCTGAGAGAGGAAAGTTGTTAAGACAAGAGTGATGGGGCTGGGAAGGTGGCTCAGTGGTAGAGTGCTTGCCTTGCATGCCTGAGGCCCTGGGTTCAATCCCTCAGCACTACACAAGCAGAAAAGGCTGGAAGTGGCGCTGTGGCTCAAGTGGTAGAGCGCTAGCCTTGAGCTGAAGAGCTGAGGGACAGCGCCCAGGCCCAGAGTTCAGGCCCCACAACAGGACCCCAAAAAAATTAAAAAGAAAAAAGAAAAAAGACCACATGACTGAATTGCAGTAAGGCCTTGAGACCAATTGATGAGGTAAACCCAAATAGCTTGCTGTTTTCATTGAGAATAAGGTTCAACGTTTAACAAAATTGAAAAATAGGAAGTGGTGCTGTGGCTCAAGTGGTAGAGTGCTCGCATTGAGCTGAAGAGCTGAGGGACAGTGCCTAGGCCCGGAGTTCAGGCCCCACGACCAGACACCCCCCCCCAAAAAAAAGACAAGAGTGATGTTTTTTCAAGCAGGAACAAAAGGAAACTCAATCATCTCAGAACAGACACCTAACATTTGATCATCTAGTTAACTAGTTTCACTTTTCTAAATGCATTCTAATTAAGTTTCTAGAATTCCTTATTAAATAGTTATATCAAATATTTTTGTCTTAAAATCAGGGGGCAACTCACGACTTTGAAGTTATAGGTTAGATTTTAGCACTTTAAGGTTAGATTTAAGCACTTTTTTCTTTTTTTTTGGGTCCCGTCGTGGGGCCTGAACTCTGGTCCTGGGCGCTGTCCCTCAGCTCTTCAGCTCAAGGCTAACGCTCTACCACTTGAGCCACAGCGCCACTTCCAGCTTTTTTCTTATGTGGTGCTGAGGAATCGAACCCAGGACCTTGAGCATGCAAGGCAAGTGCTCTACCACTGAGCCACCTTCCCAGCCCCAAAGGTTATGATTTTTAAAACCAGTTCAAGATATATTGTATTCATAAACTGCTTTGTTAAATAGCAACACTTTTGTACAACTACTTAAAGATAAAATATTAAAAATAAAATGACGTCATAACATTTTGTATTGTAACAGGTTAATTGGGCCATGAAAGATACTGAAATCCTGGCAGAAACAAAGTTAGTGTTGTACTGAAATGGGCTTGAATAAATGAAATAGAGCTAGATCATTTGAATCTGCGTTGAGTGACAATCCACCTTTGCCAGCATTGGTCATTTATTTGGTGAGATTTTAGAGTTGTTAATCCCTTTGTTAGACAAGTGCTAACAAAATATTTTGGTCTTCTATACACATCACTTGTACTTTATGCAAAGTTTGGAATAGTAAACTATCATGCCAGTTGGAATGTATTATTCTAACTTTATTCCAGAGTTAAAGTACACAGCGTGAAGATTTGAAATAGTCTTTTGCCAAATAATTAAAAAGTGACAAAAATATGCAGTGAGCTAATTCAGTTCTACTTAATTAGATTCCTTGCAAAAATAGTATTAAACTTCATGGTTTGACATAGACACATATTAACAAACTTTAAGTATTCCTAGCCTGTTTACTTACTAGGCAACAAAGCCTACATTCCTAGAAGTCCCTATTTTATCTTGATTAATAAATGTTTCCACACATAAAAGTAGCTTACGTCATCTGTCAAAATCAATTCTAAGACAGGCTTTTTGATATTTATTTCTCCTTCTGTATACAGTCTGGGTTTAAATATATAGTAGTGGGGAATATAAGATGATTATGTGTGTGTGTGTGTGTGTGTGTGTGTGTGTGTATCTGCAATGATATGAAATATGTATGTATATATGTATGTATGTATACATGTATATATGTATATATGTATGTATATATGTATATATGTATGTATGTATACATACATATATATTACATATCCTTGCAGAAAAGAAAAGAGATTGTCTAAGCTAGGACTCAAAAGCATCAAGACACAAGGCTGATACTATTAGCTTGGAGTTCATTCATTTAATGTTCCTTTTGTTTAGCATTTATAGGTTTTGTTAAAGCCATAATGCAGTAACATGGAAGTGGCATGTGGCTAAGTGACATTTTCACTTTCAACATGGCACTTCCTTGTTCAGTGGTGGTCCAGGACTATGTCACCATCTGATTTGTGGAAATGTGCTAGAACTGTAGTAGTGAGCATGATAATAAAAGAACTTGACATTGGTAGGAGTTCTGAAAAAGTCAGTATCATCTTTTAGATGTGGCAAGTAAGATCTCTTTGGTACTATGAACCATAAATCAGTTTTCCTTGTCTTCAAAACCTCTAGGTATCTCTATATTGGATTTGTTGTGATTTCTACCATTTTTTCTTTTGTATGATACTAATGGCCTGAAAAGTATCAAAGGATAGGACTCCACTTAGAGTATTTTAACATAGAAATATTTGGAATCTATTTGTGCTTTGATCATCATCAAAAGAGGGATGGTAAAATACTATGTTCAAATTTGTATTCTAAATAAAACAAAAAAACTACCAGAGTGAATTTCCAAAATGAGATTTTTTTTCTTTTCTGAGAGGATAGTGTCCAAAGTGCTAACCCAGCCATGATTACTGGCCCTGCAGGAAGTCCAGGCTGGCTAATCTTACAAATGCTTTTTTTTTTTTTTTTCTGCCAAATGGCATTTAGGAGCCACTGATAATTTAATTTCCTGGCATTTTTTACTGGATGGAGATTCATGTGGTTTCTCAACTCAGCTTATTTCTTTTTCTTAATTCAGTCAGCTCTTAGTAAGAAAACAATCTTTGTTGAGGGCATAATTTCAGTATGGCAAAGGGAAGACAAATATCTCCTGCGATGTGGGGAAGACTGGTGAGAGAATGAGTGCAGGAGTGATTTTCCACTTGCTGTCCTGACCACAGGGTCTTTGCTTAGATACCTGAAGGCCACAGGCAGCTGAACAGCTGTTTCAGGTACACATTGTGTAATTCTAAGACATGAGCCCTGGATTCATTGTATGTGTCTATTTACTTTCTAAGTAATGTAAGGGAACATCCTGGTGATCTTTTAGAGAAAAAGTACAAGAACCATTCTCTGGTCTCCCTTAGTCTCTTGACAGTGATGCACCTGTGCCAAGCAACTGTCCTGGCACAAGAATGTCACTTATTTGCTTCCTGTGCCAGCTCTCTTGAAATCTGGGTGGTGTCAGTGTGAGGCAGAAAGCATTGTGTGTGTGTGTTCTGTGGCCCACTTTCCCTTGTTTGGAGGCTGGCTGCAGAGATTTTCACAGGTCTGAGTGAGAGTTCACTAGCCTCAGCCCAGGCGGGTTCCCAGACACAGGGTGTGGTTTCCTTAGCTCATTCTCTGCTATTTGGTTGCCTGTGGCAACAGGATCCAAACAACTTGGACATGTGGTTATATAAAAAAAAAACCTGGGAATGGAACCCAAAGCAGGAGTTTGGGGCTTTTCAGTTGGTGGAAGAGCTGTGGTGAGTTGTGGGCAACTGCTCAATTCGTTTCCCTCATTCTTTTTCTGTAAATTATACTGCAGATGTTTGCTAGCATGATAATCATATGTGTGAATAGTTGGAGTTAAAATAGCCTTCATTCTTGTGTTTCCTACACAAATTAAATAATTGCTATCTATTTACTCATGCAAATTTATTTCTGGGGGGGAGAGAAGAAAAATTAGCATGTGTAAGGCCTTGAGAGCTAATAGAAAACTCAGATTTTTTTGTACCTTCTTAATGACAGGATTCTTTAAAAAATGACTTTGTAAAGGGGCTGCAGAGGACTCTGGATGGCACAGGCTGTTGTCTAGGGGCCATAGCTAGAGAGAGGGCAGGGAGGGAGTAGAGATTAGGAAACGGTCAGATTAACCCTTTGTAAAATCCTTTTTTTTTTTTTTCCAAATTATACTTTAAACTTGAAGTGAATAAAATAATGAATTCCTAAATGTTAGAACTTCCTTGAATATGTCTTTCCTTGGTTGACCTGAAAGAGATTGATTCTAGTCTGCCACAAATCAGAGAACATTGTGCCAACTAATTCATAGTTGCAAAGCTAGCTAGTGTCAGCTGAGAATGCTACTTTGTTAAAACTCTTTGTGGCCCTATGGTTCAAGCCTCAGAGATCTGTCAACTAACTATCTGGGACAAAACTCTTGGGATCTGTTTGGGGACCAAAACTACTACTGCCAGATTTCAAGTAAATACAAGCATTTCAAACAAGGATTTATTGTGGGCCTAGTGTGGTACAGTTACCTATTCTGTGTGTGTGTGTGTGTGTGTGTGTGTGTGTGTGTGTGTGTGTGTGTGTGTGTGTGTATGTGTGGTCTGTGTGTGTGTGTTTCTTTTTTGCAGTAATGGGATTTACACTCAGGACCTTATGTCAGGCAGGTGCTTTATCACTTGAGCCATACCTCCAGTCTTTTCTCCTTTTTTGAGATAAAGTCTTGCTTTTTGCCTGGGCTGGCCTGGACCACAATCTTTTAAATTGATCTTTCTGTTTCTGAGATGACAAGCGCACAGCACCACGCACTGCTTTCATCAGTTGAGATAGAGTTTCACAAACTTTTTGCCTAGGCTGGCATTGAACTCCTAACATTGCTTCCTGAGTAGCTAGGGTTGCAAGCATGAGCCAGAGCTTCCAGCTACCTGTTAAGTTTATATTCCAATGACCAAATAGGAGAGAATGAGGTCTCTAGAGCATACTCTTTCCCATGGAAATTGACGATGGGAGAGGTAAAGCTTACAGAGTATACTGTGACATTTATAGGCAGCCCTCAGAGCAGAGGGCCCGGTTACGCTTTCTGCACTAACCAGTGGGCTACCTTATAGGCCAATGCTGTATGCGCACAAGGCACCAGCTGCTCCAAGCTCTTGCCCTCATGTAAAACAATTTCTTCTTTCTGGCCCATTCCATCTACCCTTCACTCCTTCAGCTTACTCCTCTGAGTGACTGAACCATACCAGCTGTGAGCCACTTGTCTCCTGCAGTGTCCTTTGTAAGTCAGCACAGTTGTCCATCCAGGCAAGGATTTCTGCCATCTCCCCAAGGAGACACTGGCCCGGAGCCTGTGGCACTTGGACAGTGGGACTCAGAGTACTTTCTTCCCAAGAGCTATAGTTAAACATCAGTTGCTTTGGTACTCAGCAGCTAGCCAGGCTCCAGGAGGCTGTCTGGACTGTGGGCAATAGACCCAAGACATTCAGAAGGTTTTCCTGGCCAAGTGCAGCAGTACCAGGTGCCTCCCCGGATCCTCAGCAACAGACCCTCCTTGCATTTCCAGTGGTCATTTGTCCAACTTACTTGTCTGTGCAGGTCCCTCCAGGTATAAGGTGGGCACCATGGCTGAGAAGTTTGACTGCCACTACTGCAGGGATCCCTTGCAGGGAAAGAAGTATGTGGAGAAGGATGGCCATCACTGCTGCCTGAAGTGCTTTGACAAGTTCTGTGCCAACACCTGTGTGGAATGCCGCAAGCCCATCGGCGCAGACTCCAAGGTAACTTACTCTCTTGTCTATGTGTTAACTGGACGGGCCAGGCTTCCCTTGATGCCTGACAGTGCTTCTGCTATTCCTAGCAGTTAAATATGGCTCTTGGACTAGCTGCACCCCATGGCTGGCTTTTTTTGATTATATAGGTGGAATATCCCTTACCTGAAGTGTTTGGCAGCAGAAGTGTTTCAGATTCTGAATTTATACTTTATGGAGGAACTGAGAATTGAACCCAGCTGTCTCACATGCTAGGCAAGCATCGAACACTTGAACCACACCCTAGCCATTTTATTTGTTTGCTGTTTTTGTTTTTGTTTTTGAGATGTGGGCTCTCACCAACTTTGCCCAGGCTGGCCTCGAACTCATGATCCTCTTGCCTCTACCCTCTCAAGCAGCAGGAATTACAAGCAAGCACCACCACACATATCTTGGTCTTGGGACCCAAGGACAAACACAAAAACTAATTTATGTTTTGCCTACCCTTATATACATAGGCAAGGGTGGTTTTCCTACAATATTTTAAAATAATTTTTGCATGAACCAAAAGTTTGATATCCACAGCTGAAGGAGCTGGGAGGGTCTTGTTTTCCTTGGGGACACTCAATAAACTTAACTATTAGGATTCGGAGTTTAACTGATCTAGGATGGAAGCCAGGTGTGGAATTTTCCACACGGGCTTTAATATTGGCCCTCAGACAATTTCAGATTTGGGAGCATTTTGGATTGCAGATTTGGGAATGAAGATTGCTCACCCTCTACTCTTAAGTATTTGAGGAATTGGGATTTTCGTCTGATTACAATGTTCTTCCTATCTATCAGTCCTAAGAGCCCTTACTTCAGGGCTCCCTCACACATAGGGGACTGTTTGTGTGGAAGGGAGTTAACTCTGAGGCCTTGATGGGAGAATTCCAGCGTCTATCCTGGTGTCCCTCACAGCAATGCCCCCTGTTCTGCTTGTTTTCCAGGAAGTGCACTACAAGAACCGCTTCTGGCATGACTCTTGCTTCCGCTGTGCCAAGTGCTTTCACCCCTTGGCCAATGAGACCTTTGTGGCCAAGGACAACAAGATTCTGTGCAACAAGTGTGCTACTCGTGGGGAAGACAACCCTAGGTGCAAAGGGTGCTTCAAGGCCCTTGTAGCAGGTACTTTTCCCCCTTCCACACTGGGCTGCTAGGGAAGAGGCCCTAAGGGCAGACACGATGTGGGCTTGATTGTTGTGTGTGTGTGTGGGGGGGGTGTTAATGTTGCTGTGAGATGCTTTGAGGTTTTAGCATATATATGTACACATATACATACACGTATATATGCGTACACATATATGCTCGCACACACGCACACACTCGGAGACTAAAGAACACTGGGCAAGAGCAGCCTGTGGCAAGAGAATGAAGTGAAAAGTATGTAGCGCTCTCTCATTTGGGTGTAGTAAGTGATCAAAGCATGCTTCCCCTTCAGGGTATATATGTATATATAATATATCTTACATATATATTATATATATTCCTTTTGAATCTCTTTAAGGCTACACAGGGGGTAAAGGTGGGGGAGTGGGGATTAGGCATTTCATCCTAAAATAATACTTCGGGGGTCCCCACCCACAACAGAACCCTGGGTTGGCATGGAGAGCTTAGCTGGAGGCATGAGGCCAGTGATTGCAGGGCCTGCACCCCTCAACTCCTCTTCCTGAGTGGATGCAGCCCCCTGCAGAGCCTATCAGCGGGGCTACACACTCACTTCCCTCTGCAGGAGACCAGAACGTGGAGTACAAGGGCCTCGTGTGGCACAAAGACTGCTTCACGTGCAGCAACTGCAAGCAAGTCATCGGGACTGGAAGCTTCTTCCCGAAAGGGGAGGACTTCTACTGTGTGACTTGCCATGAGACCAAGTTTGCCAAGCACTGCGTGAAGTGCAACAAGGTATGTGCGCAAGGCAGTTGTGCATTCAACTGTTGTCTCTAGGAGTGTTTCACAGTTTGCAGAGCACTTGCACACACACTATCCCATTCCATCCTCACGACAGCCCTGTGACGTAGGAATTATTGTGCCCACTTTACAGATGCGGGGACTGAGATTCGAAAGTTGTGTCCAGACTACTTCACGCTGTCAGTGTGTCTGTTCAGTCTGGTGGCACAGGCGGTTGGCACTGGGCTGAGCTGGGCAGCCCCGGCTCTGGAGGTCTGCCTTCGCCATTTCATTGCCCATGTAACTTTCCAAAGGGCTCATCATCTCCGAGCCTTGGTTTCTTCATCTGTAAATTGGGGATAATAATAGCACCCACCTCCCATGGTTGTTGTGGAGATCAAATGAGATCTTTTATACCAGAGCACCCAGCACAGTGCCTGGCACATGGTAGGCACTCAAAAAGAATGGTTGTTGAATCTGAATCCAGTGCTACACTCCCTGGTCTAGGCCATCACATCTGGAGGAATCACTTACCAGGATCAGCCCTGGCATGCCGATTGCTTTGTGTGTGTTACCTGCTCTAAGAAGCTGGCTGGGCAGCGTTTCACCGCTGTGGAGGACCAGTATTACTGCGTGGATTGCTACAAGAACTTTGTGGCCAAGAAGTGTGCTGGATGCAAGAACCCCATCACTGGTAGGCTAAAGAGTCCTTGCTAAGTCTGCCAGGCTAGGTTTTGCGCATGGTAACCATCTCTCATTTTCCTGAGTCGTAGGTTTCATCCACAAAGGTCCCTAAGGATTGCCCTTTGGCCCTTGCCATTGTAGTTGCAAAGGCCCCTTCCCAATAGCATTGGATTCTCCCCTAGGTCAGGTTAGCCTTTGCAATGCAGAACACTTCCTGACTACTGCTGACCAACTAACTAACAATGCCAATTCACAAGCCTGAGACCCACTGCCTTGGGCCATAGGCAGGCACTGCGCCAGGGGGGATTGTGGGGGCAGAGGGAGGGGCTGGGGTACGGGAGAAGGGGGGGGAGAGGGGAGAGAATGCGCTGAGGGACTGGGGAGGGCCAGAGGAAGGGGGGTGGGCTGGGGAGGCTGCAAAGGCATCACCTGGCTTTACAATACCCCATAGCTGAAGGTTAGTGCAGAGGTGCCTGCCGTTAGGGCGTTTTTTTTTTTTAATTTGTTTATTTAAAGGTTTTTTGTTTTTTGTTTTTTGCGATCAGAAGCAAAGCTAATCACTTCATTCCTCATCTTGCGGCCGCGCTCCACGTGCCCTCGGCCCTTTCCCCTTCCTCCAATTTTCCCATCTCCCCGGAGAGCCTTGAAATGTACATTTGAGAAGACTTTTGCCATCCTCAGGGAAAAGGACTGTGTCAAGAGTGAGCCACCCAGTCTCTAAAGCTAGGAAGCCCCCAGTGTGCCACGGGAAACGCTTGCCTCTCACCCTGTTTCCCAGCGCCAACCTCCGGGGCAGGCATCCGGGTGGAGAGAGGACTTGTCCCTCGTGGGTGGTGGTTCTTTATAGAAAAAATCGAAGCTTAGCCGCTCCTCGAGGCCCGGTAAGTGCACACCCCACGAACGGCCCAAGTTTGCCTCCTGGTGGCCACTTTGATGCCATGGCCCTGACCTAAATCAAAGAAACTGGTTTTGCTGGGAGGTCCGTGCGCGTCCCAGGGCAATAGATAGTGGTGGTGTGGGAGTATGGGTTCATTAAATCAGGGAAGCCCATGGCTGAGCTCTGGCATCTTCTCAGGTCCTTGAGAGCCGTAACAGGGTTGCAGTGGCATGGGGGACATTGGCGGCGTGGGGGACAGTGCACAGTGGGGGACAGATGCACGATGGAGTGGAGAGGAGGGGGGTGGGATGCAGGGCAAATCCTGGCTCTGTGTGCTTGTTGGCTCTGTGAACACACAAGTCGTCATTTTACCTCTGCATCATGGCTTCCCGGTCTGTATTCATTCAGCTGTCTTTCTTGTTTTCTTTTGTGTGTGTGTGTATGTGTGTTTTTAACTACAGGGTTTGGTAAAGGCTCCAGTGTGGTGGCCTATGAAGGACAATCCTGGCACGACTACTGCTTCCACTGCAAAAAATGCTCCGTGAATCTGGCCAACAAGCGCTTTGTTTTTCATGGGGAGCAGGTGTATTGCCCCGACTGTGCCAAAAAGCTGTAAATTGATGGGGGCGTCTGTCCTGTGAGACGAAATTTCAGTCATCTTTTTTTGTGCCCCTGTTCTTTTCTCCGCCCTACACCATTGATAGGGGAAGAGTGGTTTTGCACCTCTTTAAACTTCTCCCTTCTGTCCTTTCTATTGTTTTGCAGTGTTGCTCAAATAAGGACAAACAGTGATTGTATTAGGATTTAGCAACAAGCATCCTTGCAGCAAAGTTAATTTCTCTACCGCTGCAATGAGCAAACAAAAACTTAGACTTGACTCTTCTGCATGTTTATCATAGAGCAGAAAAGTGTTAACCATTTAGCCACTTTGTGATGTAAGCAAGAAACATAAGCGATAAAGCTCCTACTGAGCTGCCTTTCCAGGCTCAGCTGGGACCCGCCATGTAGTCAGTCATACGGCGTGCAAGAGTCGCAGCGGCTGCTGCAGCTCACGGCTCACACTCTTTGGTGAGCAGAAAAAGAACTTGCTGGAATGCATGGTTTAACTTCCTCCTCAAAACTCTGACCCTCTTTCTATTCTTTTGTGATCTCACCTGACTAACATTGAATTTCCGGAAAGTTAACATTTGAACTTAGCTGTAAGTTTTCCCCCTACTAACGTCCGATTTCCCCCCCCCCCCCCAGTGGCATGTTTTCTGAGCGTTCCCACTTTAAAGTACGGAATATATAGGTGACTGGGAAGGTGTACACGCCTACCTGAGAAAACGAACCTGTTTCAGAGCCACATTGTCACAGTGGAAGCTTGACAAAACTCACCCTTCCGTCCTTTTTATTTCTCTTCAATGACATTTTGTTTGAATAGTAAAAATAGTTTATGGGTTTGGAAACTTGCATGACATGGAGCCCCCTCAGATGTCACTGCAGTTTGGAGATTCATCCTATAGAAGTGAGTGAACTCTTGAAGGGTAGCTTAAGCAGGCACCAGGCTGCGTCAACATGAATATCACATTTCAAAACCATGACAAGTGAAATCCCTTTGTAAAATAAAAGTTGTTGGCTCTTTGTCCATGTGTTCAAGAGGACTACGAAGTCCCTTCTCTTGTGATTCCTAGGAGGTTTCCTCGAGAGCTTAGCTCTCTGTGGGGAAGTGGGGCAGCCACTCGCCTCACAGGCAGAACTAGCTTTTCACAGTTTGCTTCCCTGAAGTTGTGGGATCACCTACTTATTGTATTCTCCATGATTATATTACAGATATAATGAGAAAATAATCAAAAGTAAACATGTAATGACAATACATATTGGAATTCTTGTAGAAGTGGTTGTAGACACCGATGCTTCATTTCTGCATTCTGTCATTAGCTGTTATCATCTAATGTTTCAGTGTATCCTTACAGAAATAAAGCAGTATAGAAAGAACTTGCCTCCTGTCTTTTCATTCTGCTCAGAGAAAGTATCACAAGCATCACAAATTCAGAACCTTTTTCAGGCTTCAGCACTACCCTCAGTTCAGTGTAATTATTTAGAACATATGAATTATAAGAAAACTAACCTAGCCAGCCGTCAGTGGCTCACGCCTGTAATCCTAGCGACTCAGGAGGCTGAGATCGCAGTTCAAAGCCAGCCCAGGCAAGAAAGTCTGTGAGAATCTTATCTCCAATAAACCACCAGAAAATCGGAAGTGGCACTATGGCTCAAGCGGTAGAGTGCTTGCCTTGAGCTGAAGAGCGCAGGGACAGTGCCCAAGCCCAGAGTTCAAGCCCCACAACTGATAAATAAATAAAACCTATAAATACCCCTCTGATCCAGTATAACAAAAAAACGTGAGACCACCCTAACCCTGGAGAATTTCCCTCAGATTTGCATATCATTTAAAAAGGACAGATTGAGATGGGCACTGGTGGCTCATGCCAGCAATTCTAGCTACTCAGGAGGCTGAGATCTGAGGATCGCAGTTTGAAGTCAGCCTGGGCAGGAACCTCCATGAGACTATCTCTAATAAACTACTCAGAAAAGCTGGAAGTGGCACTGTGTCTCAAGTGGTAGAGTGCTCTGAACAAACAGAAGCTCAGAGACAGCACCCAGGCCCCGAGTTCAGCCTCAGGACCAGCAAAAAACAAAAAACAAAAAAACTTTATTTGGCCTTGATAGTGCAGTTGGGGATGGAATCCCAGAATAGTTGTATTACTGAGAAGGAATTATGGCCTATAATTCACTTAGGAGGGACTTCTTCATGGCTCCTTTCCTTTATGGCTACTGGAGCATGTAGACAATCACTATCCCTTCAACTATAGCTGACTGCTTAGAGGCTCTCATTCCCCCTTGTACCTTGGACTCATGTCTCCAGTTAGAGAGGAAAAAGTGGGAAAAGAGGGAGAAGCTGGCTTGGCCTGCAGGCCCTCAGTGAATGCTGCTTCAAGATCAGCAACTGTAATTCCTTTACATGAGGCTCATGTGCTCAGGTCACTCACCCCTGTGGTCATATCAAGATGGCTGGGGGCTTCTGGGAATCAGGGAACTGCTGCCTCCATTTCCTCCCCTGGAAGAGCCGACAGACCTTCAAGGCGCCTCATCAACTACATTGCAGTTAAGAATGGCAATGGAGGAAGGTGTTAAGCTTTGATTAGCCCAATGCCCAATATGAGAATAAACACTAAACACTTGGGCGCTAGCATTTGCCATCTGTGAGGGAAACTGAAACCTGTCAGAGATCATAAGCTGTGTGTATATGTGTGTGCGCGTGCACATGCGCCTGTGCATGCATGTGCGCTTGCACTTGTGTGCATGCATGCTAGGGATTAAGCCCAAGGCCTCACATGGCCGTGAGCATTTGTAAATGTGGAACATCTTGTGTGTTTTTCTCTAGAGGTTTTAGCTGTTAAGATATTCATCAGTGAAGAGAGTACACCTCAGTTTTGGGGGACCCATCATGTTAGCCTCAATACCATATAAGTTTATGTTCTCTACTTGGCCCTTTTAGTCCCCACCATTGCACTTGTGTGAGTTCTGCCTTACTCCAATCCACTAGCTCTACATTTTACATTTTCATCAGACTGTCCACCCCTACCTTGCTCATGCAGAAAACAGGCCTATCAGGCATTAACCTTGGCTACAGGATGCTATACAATGTCTGCTCTGAGCATTTAAGTGACTTCATAAGCAAACACCTCATACTTTGGGTCTCATCTTCACAGCCACACTGGGTCTAGAAGTTCAGAGAGGTTAAGGTGCTTCCCTAATGTCCCACAGCTAATAAATGACCATTCAAGTCCATAGTGCACCAATTATGGCACTGAATTGTCATAGGAGTGGACACAATTACACAAGGAAAATATTCCTACTGGTGTTCATGATTTTTACTAGGCATTTGTGTATGTTGAGTGAGATTAGGCGCAGGAGGAATGTGGGTAAATTTCTAATTACCATATTGTCAGCATAAGTCAAAAACATCAATTTGTAGCTAACAGGATTCTGACAGGAGTCAGGCTGCCTGGGTCCAAATTCTGACTGCTCTGTGACTCTTTAGTAATGGGCAAGTTACTTAATCTCACTGCATTTGTGTCTTCTGCCTATAAAAACCACATGACACTGAGTAGCTCAGTGGTGTGAACAGTATCTAGTAAAAGTGCTAAATCAGTGTTAATAACAACTTTGTTCTCAGTACCAATGGTACTGCTCTGGTATCTCTAATCTACTCTGTAAGCTACGTGACACCATTTTACTCTCAATGTAGCAAAACTCATTAAGAGAACACTTTGCTTCCACAGTTCCCAACCATTGAATCAGTAAGCCCTGATTCTGTGCTTGTTAGATGAGGCACTCCTAGCTCAATAAAATACATGGAGGGTGTTCATTTGCCAGGCTTGAGGTGTATCCAGCTTGCTTGTTCATAACATTTTCTAGAATGTACAGTAGGGAGTGGCTGCCACAACATTTGTAAGCACTAGATCCCTAAGATTGTGGAAAAACAAGGACTTGGTCTTACCAAACACAAACTTACTATACACTACAGGCTGCATGTGTTTGTGTACTGGTTATTCTTTTTAAGATAGGGCCTTCCTATGGGGCCTACGCTGGCCATGAACTCATAATCTTGCTTCAGCTTCCTGAAACCTGAGATAACAGGTGTGTGCCACCAAACCTGACATAAGTTTTAAGACTAAATACTAAACGTTTACATAGGCCACCAGAACATTTGTTTTGCCATCTGCAGTAACAGAAATGTCATGGAAAAAAATGTATTTTTAAGAGCACATAAAGAGTACAAGACTTTAAAAAGCAAGTGAACAAAACATTTGTAAAAAGCAAGTAGGGCAAGGTGTTGGTGGCTTACACCCCTAGCTACTCAGGAGGCTGAGATCTGAGGATGACGGTTCAAAGCCAGCCCAGGCAGGAAAGTCTGTGAAACGCCAATTTACTAGAAAACCGGAGGTGATGCTGTGGCTCAAAGTGGTAGATCGCTTGCATTGAGCTGAAGAACTCAGGGACAGCAACCAGGTCCAGAGTTCAAGCCCCATGTCCAACAACAACAACAAAAAAGCAAGTGGGTTTTCCTCATCAGAGGCAAATACCAAATCCAAAGTCCAAAAGGGTAAAATGTTCACATGTTCTCAAACTAAATAATCAAGATGGTTTCACAAGCTTGTGAATGTACTTGGGTTAAAATGGGGACTTTTAGCAGATTTAGTGGCACTCACTCGTAACCTCAGCTACTTGAGAGACTGAGGGACAATGGTTGACACCAGTAGTCACCCTGAGCAAACAACACCTTGCTCAAAGGAAAAAAAAGAAAGAAAAAAGTAGGGACTGTTATGCCATAGTACTCTGAATAGCAAATAGAACCAGGAATTAGAAAATTATTTTGCTTTTACTAATGCAAGACTGCTTCAAACTTTTTGTGATTCAGAATTGAAAATTCAGCACCATTAAGACAAGGAATGTACATTTAGTATGTGTGTGTGTGTGTGCGTTTGTTTTTTTTGTTTGTTTGTTTTTCCCAGTCCTGGGGCTTGAACTCAGGACCTGGGCTCTGTCCCTGAGCTTCTCCAAGATCACAGCTAGCACTCTACCACTTGAGGCAGAGTTCCACTTCCGGCTTTTTTGTGTGCTTAATTGGAGGTGAGTCTCACAGACTTTCCTGCCTGGGCTAATTTGAACTGTGATCCTTAGATCTCAGCCTCCTGACTAGGTAGGATTACAGGCATGAGCCACAAGTACCTCGCTTATATTTAGTTCTATGGAAAGACATATCCCTTGTGTGTACATATATGTGTATAAAATATACATATATATATATACATATATGTGTACAACTGTGTGCCTATCACAGATATTAGTTCCAATTCTGTCTTCCTAGCCAGTGCCTAGAGAAAAGCAAACATTTTTATTACCTGTCTCTAGTCTAAATGTATACTGAAGGACAGGTTTGGGGGAGTACAAACAGAAAAAGATGATAAACACTTGACATTTTGAGCAATTGAACATACACCATGGCAACAGCCAAGTACAACAGAAAGTTATCTATATTTTTGCATGGAAATCAGTGTGTACTTCAAAAAGAAATATAGACAAGACTAAAGGATGCTGACAGTTCTGAAGTTACATTTTCTAAGACTCCCAGCATTTGAATGTATCAACAGAAGAATTAAAAACATACACCTATCATGGTAAATTTTTACTATGCCATGCAACTTTCAGTATTTATGTATTACAGCCTGACACAGCTCCTGAGAGCAAGCTGACTCCTGAGCACAGTCTATTATGTTTCATGTACAATCAAATTGAATTCCCAGTTGTTAGAATTTATGTCATTCTTAAATAGAATAAGCACTATTTTAGGATTTCAAATGCTACAACAGGATGATTTGCTCAATACAATTTTTTAAAGAAACGCTATCATCATTTAATTAAAAACGCCATCAATTCACCAACACATACACAAAAAGCGAGACATTGATGAATGCAAGCAAAACATCCTTTACTTATTATTATTCCCACAAAGGAATGATGACATTTTTGGAAGTAGTCATCGCGATGATCTTCAAAATGTTGGTTTTCTCTCTTTCATTGATGTTAAGTCTGGGCTAAGATTTCCTGGTTGATGGTTGGACTAAGATTTACTGGTTGATGGCTGGTGAATTAAGACCCATGATGCCTAGTTTTCTAGTTGGAGTTAGGGAAAAAGAAAGAAATGATCAGTAGAGAAGATGCATGGTGTCTGGCAACTCTTGGAGCTGCTGACACCCTGGCACCCTTATAAAAAAAAAAACTCTTCAGCTTCCTCAACCCAAAAAAGAGCTCACGTTACCTCACTTAAGTATAAAGAGAGCCTCTCAAGGAGAGAAAACAAATGGAAACAAGATGAAGGACTAATTCCAAAGATTTCCTTAACCCTCTGCTCTAGAAAAACATT